CTGTGGAAGAGATTTGCAACGAGTTCAAGGAAATTGTGGTGAAATGGTTTGAGGTTGATGACGATTATGATCTGCTGACGGACCTGGTTACGGAAGTCAATGAGAAAAAGTACTTGTTTGTGTCCAAGGATTCGATCGATGTGATTATCATGTGCCTATTTCATATCAAGACGAATTTAATCGAAGTTAGAGAAAAGAAACGATTGGGAATACCCGATCTTGTTAATTTTCATAAGATATGTAAAAAAATGCATTTTGAAGGAGTCATTGTAACAAATTTACACTATCGAAATTCTGCCAAGTTGAGAGCCAAAGAACTCAAAATTTTATTAACAAATCCCGAGCGTGCCAAGGTAAAATCGATGATTTTATTGAGAACATAAAATCCCAAAGAGCTGAGTTTAATAGCAGTGAATCATCGACGGAAGAAATAAATGATAAAGATCGAAAAGAAACGAATGAAGTCAAAGAGATCAGCATAAAGATTTTTCAAAGAAATCGTATTAGAAATATTGTTGATTGAAAAGTAAGTTTTTATTTGTCAAAAATACCATTAACGATCAGAGGAAATACCCTTAATTTTCTTTGTAACAACATTTATTATAAGATCGAAATGCAATTTTTTAATAAGAACAAGTATAGTAAACATATTACACAACCAAAAGCTCAGGGTGCTGCTCAAGCTGTATGTAAGTATGTAGCGCTCTCGATGATCATCTAATTGATAAAAAGAAGAAAAAATCTCATAAAGAATGGCTGATGCATTATTTATTCTCTTGCGTTTAGTGTATGGTACTGGTTTGGAATCGCTAGTATACTTTAAAGAATATTTCTCTTCAATCTTTAAATGATTGTTTTCTTAAAAGATTAAGATTATTTGCCAATCATAAAATAAAATAAAATAAAATAGTTGGTTTGAAGGTAATACGTGTAATATGCACCTTCTTGATCTAGCTAATAAAGTCAAGGAGGGTGTCAAAAAAGCTGGCCTCATTGGTTATAAATTTAATACTGTTGGCGTAAGTGATGCTATTAGCATGGGTACAATAGGAATGAGATATTCCCTTCAAAGTAGAGATCTTATAGCAGATTCTACAGAGACGGTAATTAATATTTATATTTCGATTATCTTTCATATTATAAACTTATCAACAAATTATCTTGCTAATTCTTCAATAATTGTTAATGTTTAAAGATGATGGGTGGACAATGGTATGACGCCAACATTTCTTTACCAGGCTGTGATAAAAATATGCCTGAATGTTTAATTGCGATGGGGCGTCATAATCGTCCCTCTTTAATGGTTTACGGTGGTACTATTCGTCCTGGTCGATCTTCATGCAGTAAAGACGTCCTAGATATTATATCGGTTTTTCAGTCTTATGACTCCTATATTGCTGGATCTATTTCTGAAGATAAACGTTATGATATTGTGAGAAATTCTTGTCCCGGTCCTGGTGCTTGTGGTGGAATGTACACAGCCAATACCAGTAGGATATTTGTTTATCTATTACTAATTAATTTCTTATGTCATAAATTTTGTCTGATTTGATATTTTTATTTCAAATAGTGGCATCCGCAATTGAGACATTGGGAATGACTTTACCTTATAGTTCTTCAATTCCTGCAGAATATCCTGAAAAACAAGAAGAATGCTTAAATGCAGGTGAAGCGATACGTAATCTACTCGAACAAGATATCAAACCACGAGATATTATGACTAGAAAAGCATTTGAAAATGCCATGGTTATTACAATGATTTTGGGTGGTTCAACAAATGCTGTTTTACATTTAATTGCTATTGCAAAATCTGTTGGAATAGAGTTGACGTTGGAAGATTTTCAAAAAGTTAGTGATTCTACTCCATTTTTAGCAGATTTAAAGCCTAGGTCCGTATATCTTTAAATAATTACATAATTAATAGTTATTGTTTTATTGTTTTATTGTTTTAGTCTTTTAATATAATCATTTAAAATAGCGGGAAATATGTTATGGAAGATCTTTATAAAATCGGCGGTGTACCAGGTTAATAGTATTATCAATGTTCAGCATTTCTATTTATGCTTTCTATTACATCTTCTAATCTTCTAATTATTTAAATTTTATCTTTCATTATAAAGCTGTCCTGAAATATCTTTTAGAAAACAACCTAATACATGGGGATACGTTAACCGTAACTGGAAAAACGTTAGCAGAAAATCTTTCAAATGTTCCGTCACTTTCATTTGAAACTCAAGATATAATCCATCCATTATCAAATCCAATCAAACCAACAGGTCATATACAAATATTATATGGTAATCTGGCACCAGAAGGATCTGTGGCAAAAATTACTGGAAAGGAAGGATTGGTGTTTTCTGGAATTGCCAAAGTTTTTGATAGTGAAGTGGATATGTTGAAAGCTTTCGAACAAGGTGAAATTAAGAAAGGGCAAGTTATTATTATTAGGTATGAAGGACCTAAAGGTGGTCCTGGAATGCCTGAAATGTGTAAGTATTTATTAAATATTTTTGAATAATTCGAAATGATTTTTCATGAATGAAAATAATTATAAAACTATTTCTAGTAACACCTACAAGTGCTATAATGGATGCAGGACTTAGAAAAGATGTTGCCTTATTAACTGATGGAAAATTTTCTGGTGGAAGCCACGTAGGGGTCATTTCAAATTATTATCTTTACGGCACTTTTTATTGTTCAAATTTCAATTCTAAATAAATTATTATTTAAATTAAAAGGGATTCATCATAGGTCACGTAACACCCGAAGCCCAGTTGGGAGGGCCGATTGCATTAGTCAAAGATGGAGATCGAATTACTATAGATGCAAATAAAAGATCAATTAATCTTGATATTACTGATGATGAATTTTCGAAACGACGACAGCAATGGAGTGCACCACCCTATAGGGCTACAAATGGTACTTTATATAAATATATTAAAAATGTTAAGTCTGCTAGTGAAGGGTGTGTTACCGATGAATAGTTTAGATTTTAAATAATGAACATGGCTCTCAAATGCGTAAACCATGTGAACATTTGTTGGCTTATATATCAGATATGATGCAAGAAACTTGTAGCAAAATTTACAAAATCTAGACTAGATTTTTTTATTAAATCAATAGTTCTTAAAGTTTTAGATAAAAGTTATTAACATTTAAGTTTAACCAATTTTGGTAAAATATATTATAGTTATTGTATGGGTATGTAGTGAATAACCCAGTTACACACGGGTTCATATCCGTGGTCTTCGGGTTATTCAGTATACCCATACTATCTTATTGTACGGTGTCTGACGTACAATCCCGTGCAATGACCAAATGAAAAAGGCACGGTCACATAAGACCCGTGCAATAACCAAATGAAAAAGGCACGGTCACATAAGACCCGTGCAATAACCAAATGAAAAAGGCACGGTCACATAAGACCCGTG